CTCTTTCTCTCTCTCTCTCTCTCTCTCTCTCTCTCTCTCTCTCAAATGCATATGATGTGACATACAGATCTTAAATATATATATTTGTTATTATCGTACGTCGTCTGTCAACTGCGTGTGTGTGTGTGTGCGACAAATATACATAGACACACCTTGTGTTTCTCACCTTTCATTATGCAAATCCGTTGCTCTGTTGCTTACGGTGAAGCTTTGTGTTTTCGGCAGCTTCATCGACTCTCAATTCGCCTCATATGAGTATGCGGTTGGTGCCAATGATTTTTCAATGCTACCATTCCACGAAACTCCGCATGGGGGAGAACGTTTATTATTACGAGTCGCAAAATTCGGTTACAGAGCCTGTCGAAGAGATGTTGGAGTACAAAGACAGACACAAAATGGAGGATCAGCATTTTGTTGTCGCCGTCGAAGACGAACGAGTAATAAGACTAAGAACAGAGACGTATATTCATCATCATGCCATTGACCACATTCGGGTGCTCATGTCCAGGCCCACGACGTACTTCAATAGCTTTATTCTCAGTCCTGTTGAAGGAGATAAAATGTATGATATTGTCTACCCACTTGTGTATCGTATATTGGAAACACACTACGAGACTGTATATCGGGACGGTGTGTGGCGACTTGTTGTAACTGCGACATATTTTGTTTGTAATGACGAGGATTTTTCGGGCAAGTTCATTCCATCGTGTTAGATTCGGCGTTGACTGCAGTGATATACGGCCGCGACAACAACATGATGAATGAGTTTTCGTAGACGCTCGTTGGAGATGACCGGCTGACCGCATCATGAAACTTGTTTGCGGGGCATAAGGAATGAGAGAGAGAGAGAGAGAGAGAGAGAGAGAGAGAGAGTTCCTCTGACGTTCGTATTGTTTTGCATGTATGACTTTCATCAATGGGGCACATATCTACATATCATCTCTCTCTCTCTCTCTCTCTCTCCCTCTCTCTCTCTCTCTCTCTCTCTCTCTCTCTCTCTCATTCGAGACAATATAACGAAACTTATTTTCTGCCCACTGACTCTGCAAATTGCACATTACGATAATGTCATTCTAGACAATGTAACGAAACTCATTTTCTGGCCAATGACTCTTCAAGTTGCACTTCACGACAATGTCATTCCAGAACCAAAAGCAACTTCCAAAATACGGAATGCCGCTTTCAACAAAATGGAACTCGAAAAATGCAACTCCTGAAATAAATTATGTATAATGACTCTGCATATTGCACCTGACTACAACGTCACTCCCCGACCAAATGCCGCTCTCACTCCCGCACGATAGACCACCGCCCGCTATCAACCCCGCACAACAGACACCTCCTGCGATAGCACGGCGCCGTCAAAGTCGAGGCGCTGAGCGGCACCTTCGCATTCAGAATTCGATGATGACTTCTCATCATCCGAGTCATCGTCGCTCGTAGACTCGAACAAAATGTCGGCACCTTCACCTTCGTCACCCCGGGCTACGCTCTCACCAGCAACCGGCAGTCCGAAATTTGCATCAACATCAACATGCTCAACAACTGGGTCGTCGACGTCCAATTGATGCAACATGTTACGGGCCCAGTCACCGACCCGAGGACTCCCAAAAACTGCAGTTGCAATGTCGTATCGCCACGACGTGTCGCGACCGGGGTAAACGTGACGTCTTGCGGAGCGTCGTCGATGGGTGACGTTTGTGGGTTTGCGGAAAGTAGTGTGTGATGGCCTGATTCGTTTGTTCTTGTTCCATTCCAGTGCCGTGCAACAAACCCACGCCTCATACGACTTTGGGAAGTTCAATCGTTTCGTGCAATACTTGTTGATCACAGAGTGGAAGCATTCGTTGTTGAACGTCATTCTCGCACATGTGTAGTATGCCATCTTCGTGTTCGAAGCGAACTGCTGCAAACATCGTGAAACGGCTGCATGAACCCGACCCCCAGCCTCGTACAATGGCTCTCTATCTGAACCGCCTGCCGCCTTGCACAGGTTCGACAACTCCTTGCCGCACATCGAGTGATCCCCAGCCCAGTGATCGGCCAGGTGTTGCACATGTGAGGCCAACACATCGCCGTCCTCATCTCGCGCCCGTTCGCGCATCCGGCAAGCACCGTACAACCATTCCTTCGCCTCCTCCGCCGCATTGCGATGCAAGCCCTCCAATGCGTCGATCTCGACAACGTCATCTTCCAACGGCTTCCCTGCTTCGTTGGAAAACAACACACCCCACACTATCTCCACAAGCTCGTCCTTCTTTTTCGTGGCAGCCCCAGGCATGCGCACACCCTTCGTCTCGAGCCACACTTCCAGCTCCTTCTTTGTGAAACACCTCACCTCGCGAACGTGCTCGCAAGCGCCCACCACAGATGGCTTGACGTTTTGTGGCACACACTGCCTCTGGCAAGCGTTTCACCAAAGTCTTGGCTTTGTGCCACATACACTTCTGCGAGTCAATGTTCATTCGTCGCAGGATGACGTCAACCACACCACAGTCGTCATGCACAACCTCAGCGATTATGAGGTTGTGTTCGTCCTTTGATCGATGAAGGAGTTTCTCCACGCACTGCGTTTCCAGCCTCCACGACGACTCGCCCCCCTCAACATCGTCTCCGTACGCACGATCATCCCAGACTTCAAGTCCAGCGCCGTCACCGTACAATGTTGCATGTCACGGTGTGAGGAATCCCGGGGAGGAGCTACCTACCGTTCGCTGAAGCCATGGGCTACGTCGCCTGTCACTTCGCCGCGCCCGCTTCCAAGGTCCTCAGCGACCAGCAGGGTTGTCTCTTTCAGCAAGGTCACTCTTGGTCCTTAACCACAGACCATTTTAAGATCTTTTCCTTTGCGAAAATTTCACAGTAATCTCGGTCGGAATTGATCCCTCCGTGTCACGCAGGAATGTTCAATCCTCTTACCGTTCTCTTCGGATCAGCTCCTCGCAATCAGAAGAGCGGCGAAGCCGTCAAAGAGGGAACGTTAGCTTTCATTTGGCAGAGAGCAAGGAGCCAATCAGGGCTCTTTTCAATGACTTCTCGAAAACGACATTTCCCGAAAATGATTTGCTGTCCAGTCCACAAGGCTCGGAGCGGCGAGCCAATCAAGGCTCTTTTCAATAATTTCTCAAAAATGATGTTTCCGGAAAATGATCTGCTGGCCAATTCCCAAGGCTCAGAGCAGTGAGCCAATCAAGGGTCTTTTCAATAATTTCTCGAAAATGGTATTTCCCGAAAATGATCTGCTGGCCAGTTCGCAAGGCTCAGAGCAGTGAG